CTCTCTGTGCTTCCTTAGTTTTCATTTGCCCATGTTAAAGACAAGCCTGTTTGCAGACTCAGCCCAAGTATATGCACACAAGTAAACACTCATATGTTCTTTATCTGAGAAGCTGACTGAGATAAGAGTGAAGAAATATTAATTATTATAGATAAAATTTATAGAGTGTCTATAAAAAAGAGGTTTCATTTTTAGAAAGTAATTCTTTGCAAAGTACTTGAAACAATGTAAATAGTCCAGAAATATTCTTTATAAAATTAGACAGTGTGATGAGTAGTAAAAGGTATGTAAGTAGCACATGCCTAGTTACATTCCCCTCAGCAAGGAACACTCTCTAAATTTCAGTTTATTCATGTCTAAACCGTGGAGAGTATTATTTAGGTTTGGGGTAATGCAAAGTGGCACTGCATAAATGTTAGTCTCATTTATCAACTAGCTCTATATAAGATCCCCAAATTCAGGCTTCATAAATATAATGCAGGCTGAACAGCCTTCTCTCATATAATGTGAGAGAAGGAATTCATTCATAAGCTTCTAATGCACAGTATGACTTCAACTTCTGAAGTGTAAGAGAGCATGAAAAAGAAGCAGAAAAATGCAGTTGACTGCTTAGAAAGGCTCCCTGAAAGGCAGGCATAAAGTGGAAAACATTTTACCGTACTTTAACTGTTACTTATTCCAGAGAATTCTGAAGGCTAATGTTTCCTCCAAAAAACACGTACACTATCTAGCTACTATGGAAATCTACACAAAGATAGTAGGATTTAAGAAGAAAATCTTTGTTTACTGCAGAAGAGGAGAGGTGGGGGGTAGGATTACAGGAGTCAGAGGGGTCACTGACATCACAAGAAAACCCACAGAATCAACTAACCTGGGCTCATAGGAGCTCACAGAGACTGAACCAACAACCAGGGAGCTGCATGGGATTGACCTAAGCCCTCTGCATATATGTTACAGTTGTGTAGCTTGACCTTCTTGTGGGACTCCTAACAGTGGGAACAGGGGCTGTCATTAACTTTTGCTGGCCTTTGGGAACCTATTCCTCATATTGGGTTGCCTTGCTCAGCCTTAACACAAGGCAAGGTGAGGTGCTTAGTTTTACTGCAACTTGATATGCCATGCTTTGCTGATATTCATGGGAGACCTGCCCTGTTCTGAATAGAAACAGAGGAGGAGTGGAATGGGGAGTGGGGGCAGGGAAGAGATGGGGAGGATGGGAGAGGTACTAGAGGAGAGAGGGGAAACTATGGTGGGGATTCAAAATAAACAAATTAAAATAAAAAGAAAACCTTTCTTTTCACCTTATTATAATGTAGAGGCTTTAAGAATCTTCAAGTTACTTTCTGCAAGGGAAGGTAACTTGGATTTATCCAGCCATATGGGATCTAGTGGTCAGTAACTGAAATGAATGTGCTCCTGTCAACTAGGGAGGAAAAAAAATATAGAATGAACCCAGGGCATGCTGAAGGGGAAGCTGGACAGTTTGTTTTATTTTGTTTTCTGATAGAAACAATTTCACAAACAAGCACTTTACATCCTTTGCCTTTTTTCTCATCAAGCAGACAGGGAATCAACACTCCTGCATTTAGGGAGTAGATCATGTTTCATGAATTAAGAAAACCCCTATCAGGAAAGAAAGAAAGAAAGAAAGAAAGAAAGAAAGAAAGAAAGAAAGAAAGAAAGAAAGAAAGAAAGAAAAAAATCGGGAAGGAAGGAAGGAAAGGAAGGAAAGGAAGGAAGGAAGGAAGGAAGGAAGGAAGGAAGGAAGGAAGGAAGACCCTTATCATCTCATGTGTTGTCACTGTGTTTGTCCCAAGGAAGGGAGCTTTACTTACTTACTGAAGCATCTAATTCACTACATGATTAATACAAGAATATCAGGCCTGGACTCAGATGGCTTGGGTTCAATTACCAGCCCTGCTGGTCCCCAACTCTGGGACATTGATTAAAGGTCTTGATTTAACTGGTCCTTGGTTTCCTTGTGTGCAAAACAGCTACTTGAGAGGAACTTCCTTCCAGGGAGAGACAATGCAAATGAGCGCTGAGCTGGAAGAACTTTTAGCTGCTGCTCTCTCTGCTGTTATTTTCACCCACAGTGGATTTCCTGTTTGCATGTTAAAGAGTTGCTGAATGACCTAAGAGGATTTATGTTTCTGACTGACACAGTGGCCATCAAGACAGAGATTCAGTAAGGGAAATCTGTTTGATTATACTGTGGTATGTGGGTACCAACTTCACTCCTAATGGCTAAAGTAATTATTTCATTTCCCTCTTCCTGTATCTGAGTCATGGCTCATAGCACCACATGTTTCAATAAAGTCTGTGGTGAACCTTGGAAGATTCCATGGCAGGCTAAGGTGACCTAGATGGGGGACAAACAGACTAGCATTCATGGAACCCTGGGCTAACCTGGGTACTGCCTGAGTGCATTCTGCCAGGTTATAGGGGCAGGCCAGCATAATGCCTAAATCCTTACACTTTACACTGTCCAAACTTTTACAAATCAACAATGAAAATGAAATCCACACTTTAAACATCTCTGCCTTTATTATCCCACACAACACAACAAGTTGTTGTGTCCTCCCCCTCCCCCCCGACACAAGAAGTCTGTGCTGTCTCCTCTTTAGGCCATGAATTGAATTTCACAATAGGGTGCACTGGTTTGAATGAGACATTCCCCCATAGGCTCATATATGTTTAAATGCTTGTTCTGCAGTTGATGGAACTGTTTGGAGAGTTTAGGTGGTATGGCCTTGTTGGAGGAGTTGTGTTACTGGAGATGGGCTCTGAGGTTTCAAAACTCTCACTAATCCTAATCTCTCTCTCTCTCTCTCTCTCTCTCTCTCTCTCTCCCTTCCTTCCCCCTCTTTCCTTTCTTTCTTTCTTTCTTTCTTTCTTTCTTTCTTTCTTTCTTTCTTTCTTTCTTTCTTTCTTTCTTTCTCACAGGGTCTTACTATGTATCCCTGATCTTGTCATTCCTAGAATGGCCTCATACTCTCAATCTTTGTCACAGATTAATTGCTAAATACAAAAATATTCACTATTTTAATTTTGTATAAATAATAAACTTTAATTTTTGCTTTTAATATTAAAATATTAACCTAATTCTTAATTTAATTTCAAGGCATAATTATTTAGAAAAGTCAGCATTCTTTTTAAGTTAGAATGGACTACACCAAATTGTATCCTTATAACTAGAACACACTCAACCATCAACTTATCTAACAGCAAACCTGTAACAGTGATTCTTTTTTTTTTAAAGATTTTATTTATTATGCATACAACATTCTGCTTCCATGTATATCTGCACACCAGAAGATGGCACCAGATCTCATAGTGGATGGTTGTGAGCCACCATGTAGTTGCTGGGAATTGAACTCAGGACCTCTGGAAGAACAATCAGTGCTCTTAACCTCTGAGCCATCTCTCAAGCCCCAACAGTGATTCTTTTTTATTTTTTATGTGCATGGTGTTTTGCCTGCAGATATGCCTTTGCATTTTGTTTTCTTTAATGTGCACGGGTGTTTTGCCTGCATGTATGCCTTTGCATTTTGTTTTCTTTAATGTGCACGGGTGTTTTGCCTGCATGTATGCTGACCATGGACTCACCCTCTGACACTGAGTTCCCAATTAAATGTTTTCTTTTATAAGTTGCCTTAGTCATGGCATTTTGTCACTCTATAGAAAAGTAACTAAGACATTGGTACTCATGAAAGTCTCTAACAGTCTTTGAAACCACCTGTCAGTAAACATGCTTAACTATCAATCCCACAGCACAGGGAACATTCACTGGCCAGGATAAGTTCTGACCTCTCCAAGGAGAACAAACTGAGGAGAAATAACAAGTTTTTTCCCCATGCCACTGGCACATTAGCGAGTTTATCCTTGACTCCAGGCAGGAAGCGCAGGTCTGAGTGGGGCCTGGGCAGAGTGGGAAGTAAGCATGTAATGTTTACATGCAAGAGCTTCAAAGTCCTTTCAGACTAAGAAAGAGAGCTTCTCTGTCTCTCTTTGCACTTCATGAAGAGGACCCCTGGGATCCTGACAGTGGCTTCTCAAGACAGAAAAGTAGTTCTGCACCCCTGCCCATGGCCCTCCTCAGTTCTGCATCCCCCACCCTGCCCACCACAGTTCTGCAACCCCACCTTAGTTCTATATCCCTCCCACCCCACCTCAGTTCTGCATCCCCCACCCACATCTGTAGGAGAAGACCAGAAAGAAGCATGCTGCCTGAGAATTGAAAACCTTTTCAACTCACTGGGGAACTCTGGGGGCCACTCCTTGGTATTCTCTTAATCTTATATCTACTTCCTAGATTGAATGTCTGGACAATCTACGGGGCCACTGGTAGTGGATCAGTATTTACCACTAGTACACAAATGAACTTTGGGAGCCTTCTCCACACAGAGGGATACTCTCTTAGCATAGACACAGTGGGGAGGGTCTAGGCCCTGCTCCAAATGATATAACAGATTTTTGAAGATCCCCCGTGGAAGGCCTCACCCTCCCTGGGGAGCAGAAAGGGGTTGGGATAGGGTGTCAGTGGGGGGCAGGGGAGGAGGGGAGGGAGGGGGGACTGAGATTGACATGTAAAAGAAGCTGGTTTCTAATTTAAAGTTTTAAAAAAGAGATTTCTTCTGATCCCTGTCTGACAGACTTTTTAGTGAAGAAAAGTAAAAATACTGAAAACTTCAGAAGTAGATTATTGGCTAGGGCTTACACCACCCTGAGAATAAAAGTGAGAGGTGCCCTCTGCTAGGATCTCCCCACATAAACTAGACAGTGTCCTGGGAACAAAGGCACTGGCAGTTAAGAGTGAGGTAAGATGAAGATACTGCGTGCCAGTTGGCTAGAGTTAGCTTCTAACTAGTATTCTGGGCAAGGAATGGTTCACTATACACAACACAAGAGAAAAGAGGTAGGCCTTCATCACACATCTAAAAGTAAAATAAAAAAAGAACCAACAAAATGCACACCCATGTATGCAAAACCCACAGTACCTTTGCGTGTTTCTTCTTTAAAGAGCTTAACTCTTTCTGTTGTTTCTTTAAGTGCTTCAAGTAAGCCTGCAGGAGAGAAAAGGAGGATTCAAAAGGAGATCTCTCTCTCTTTCTCTCTCTCTCTCTCTCTCTCTCTCTCTCTCTCTCTCTCTCTTTCCCCTTCTTTCCTTCTCCAGAGGTAGTCATAATAATTATAATTTGTGAGGAAAAAATACTTGTTTTATCAGTGTGCATGGTACAAGAACATTTGAAAGTAGTCAAAACATTTTACCTTCATTTGCTTTAAATCTTCTATTCTCACTTGTGGGATAAGCTCAATACCTTTAAAAAAAGTTATAAAAATGTCAATATGTATATTAAAAATTAGAGTATATAACAGACAATATAAACTTCCATTCTAAAGCTGCACCTAAAGTGTCCAAAGCAGTTTACATGCTACAGACAGAAACATCTTATATTCTTATAGCAATGTACTGAACTGGGCCACTATCAAGTTTGTGTCCCTGCTTCTCTACCAGAATCTGATTCAGGCCCACATAAGTTAGAGATCACAAGAGAAAGCTCTAAGACAGCCCTTGGACAGGACAGGGGAAGAAGCAGGTAGATGTGCCCCAGCCTCAAGCAGCCTCAGGCAGGTTCTCTGGAGCTCCCATGTATAATGGCTTAGGAGTTGCTCTGTCTGAATGAATGGAGCTTCCTGGTTTCGCGTGTGTCAGCTGAGAGTGTCTGAATTTTCCTGAAACCTTCCAAGCATTTCGGTGGGGAATTCTCACAGTCTTAAGACAATTGTAGAAGAGTAGATGTAACTCCCAATCAACTAGCTTCTTAGCGCTGGCTATGGGCAAAGTGACCCCATAGAGGGGTCAGACACAATAGTATCTGTTGCAGCTATTCTTATCTCTGTGTGTACAGAGCATCAGTCAACTAACTTGCAACTCTATTTCTAATTTACTCATCCATCACCAAAAAGCAAGATTCTGTGAGCTTCTTTTTGACAAATTTAACCTTAGTACTTAAGAAATATGCTATTGAGTATAGCAATGTCTTCAACACAGAGGAAATAATGAAATCAAGACTCCCTGTTTAAAGGATTCTGTCTTGAGAAACTAGAGGAATAAATACATCCAGCCTGCTCGACAGCCGAGTGAAGGCTGGACTCAGAGTAGTCATGGCAAACACAATTGCAGAAGAATCCCTAATGGTTGTTTGATGGCAGATTTTCATCATAGGCAAATAAAATGAATGTGTACTCAAGGATAATTGGTTTCTATTGGGATCCCAAGGGCAGGTAAGATGAACTTGGGAAAGATAGGGATGGAGACCCAAGCTCTTGCCTTTAGGTCTTACTCATTTTAAGATTTACACTGTCTAGTGAATGCAGAAGCAAAGTCTTGACTGGGAAAACGAGTTCTGGGATCCATGATATTTTAGGGTAGGATTGGAAGAGTGTACAGAATCATTTTCTGATATCTCATGTCTGCTGTCACAAGTCCCCGCACCCACCCCAGGCCTCACAATGCACAGTGAAAGAGAAAGGCAGTATAAGCAGCAGGTGAATGCAGCAAGGCCAAGGGCCTCCTATTCTTGGCTGCCAGCTCTCTTGTTTATAGAAAGAACACAGGGTCTAGGAGACTGCAAGGTCCTCAGATATCTAGCAAGTCTTAAGGATTTAGACCACACGGACAAGACTTTCTTTCCTTGCTGTGGTCTTAACCAAATCTTGATAAACAGGAGCCAGAAAACAATATACCTTCCTCAATGACATTTTGCACTGTTGGGGAAATATACAAATGTTCAAAAATTTTAATTCCCCTAAGCAGTTAAGAAAACCTCACATTTTACAGAAAAAAAAATTGGTTCAGTTATACATGCTTAGGGCAGTGCAGTCAATAGGACATCTGACAGGAACAGAGATAGCCTATGTGTGAGGTCTCCAGAGACACGTAGCTCCTGAGTATTGGAATGTGGGCATTCGAGGAACAGTGAGTTCAAGCTTAATTTCAACTCCCTTGCATTGCTCCATGTGGCCACAGGACACATGTTGGACAGTTCATGTCTGCTGGCTGGCCTGGTAGGAAAGCACATCAGCAGGAATCACCTCTCAAGTTCCAAAGGTTATAGCTAATTGCAATTTTACTACATAAAGCTTTTGATATTATCAACATAGTTCCATAAATCAACTTGCTTTCTCAAACTCTAACATAGAAACTAACTAGGACCCCAGTATGTTTAATTCCTTACTGTTAAAACATGGAAGAAAATATTGCAGTACGGGTATGGTCATTGCTGTATGGCTGCAGAGCTAGGAGATGCAGTGTGGATCTCTTACATCCCCCATATCCATATCCGATCTTCCAGGGGGCCACAGCCCTCTGCACTCCCTTACATTTTCCAGTCTGTCTCTTCATTACTGGCTACTGACATGCTATCAAAACATACATTTTATGCCTCAAGTCATTGATAGCTAGGCTTCTGGTCTCTGCAGCCAGGCAACCCTGGTTGTACAGAAATATTATCATTATAACTTCTCTAAATAGATAATTCTTTCTCAAAAAGAATTCTATAATTTTAAGACCTCTATTCTTATTTTTCATTCATTTCTATCATTGATTCTGCCTGAGGGCTCTTACCCCCCCCCACTCCTCTGTCCCTCCCCCTCTATACCTAGCGTGTTCATATCAGCACCAGTTTAAACTCAGTGCTGTCAGGAGCCAGAGTCATTTTCCTACCAAGATTGTCCCTCCCTCAACTCCTGTATTGTTCTTGCCATCCTTTTGTAGAGTGTGACCCCAGAGTCTCTTGAAATACATCTGCATTTTGTTTTGTTTTTCTCTTGAAGCTCCACATCCAAACTACTAAATGTGTAAGTGCTATAAGACAGTCCCGAGTACCAGGGTTCTAGATGGCTTGGGGCATCTCTCCTGGTAATGAATCCTGATGCCAACACTGTCAATGGTGTCCTTCATTGCCTTCTCAGAGTGGTCCCAGAGTCCTTTTCAGACCAGGGCAAGTGCACAGCTTCCACTTTCTACTGCCCACTTCCTTCAGGTAGTGGCCTTCCCTTGGTTTCCCTACCCTTCTCCTTTAGGTTGAATCAGACCTATGTTTCAAGGTCCAACTCAATGAGGATCTTATCTCTGAGTCCTCTCTGGACCTTGCTGATGGGGGTGGAATATCTCTCTCCTCTTCTATTCTAACTAATTAGTCCTCTTTGCACTGGCTTGGGCTGGCAATTGCAATTGGCCTGCCCTTATCCTCCTCTGCTTATTGCATTCCCAAAGGTACATAGACCTTTATCATCATCATCATCATCATCATCATCATCATCGTCGTCATCATCGTAGAACCTAGTGTGGTGGTGCCTTATTGCAGCTCCCAAGTCTTCTGAATAAAGTATAAAAATGTATCGGATTAAGGTCTCTTTATTTCAAAGCACAGCCGGGTGAAACACAGGCCAGAGCTAGGTTAAGAACCCAGCCAGCGCGGCCAGAACAAAGAGAGAGAGCCCCGTCCCCCCCGTGCAGTCCCTTAAGAAGCCCCTTTACGTCATTTCGGCTTTCCTTCACCCCGCCCTTATGGGCGAGTCCCCAGGTCCACCTGGTACCTGCCCCAGGACTATTGGGCGGGGCTAGGGTGACTCCCTACAAAAATGAGATGGCCTGTAAGTCCTACCTTTTGGGTGAAATTGGGGAAAAGCCATTAGAGTTAAATTGACAGCTGCCTGGTTCCTTCAAATCTAGCTTTGTTGAGCAACAAAGGTAAGGCGGCTATAAACCCAAGTACAGACCCATTTAGAGCTATGGGCACTTTGAGCCGCACTGTTTTCAGGGCTGCTTTACACTGTAATTACTACAGTCCCTATGGATATGTGGATGAGATAAGAACTTTACCTCTTTCATTTTCCACTGCCTATCTCTGTAGGAGTATCAGTGCTAATACTGACCAGGGCTGGAAAGGGAATGCCTTAGCTTGGGTCATTACCTCACTCCATGTTCTTTCCTGAGATAAACAGACAAACAGCTGCAGGGGCCAGTGCAAACTTTTGTGCAGCTTCATCTAATTTGCTTCACAAACCCAATGCACACATAGTTGCCTGCTAAATAACCAGGCTGCTTCAGTTGGGAAAAACTGTCACATCTTTCCTTAAATTGTTAGCACTGTATGTATGTATGTATGTATGTATGTATGTATGTGTATGAACAACTTAATTTCCTTATACCACGGGCTACACACATTAAGGAACCATTAGGAGAAAAAGAAATTACTATTAAAATGAACACAGTGAGTTATTTATGGTGGGGGGCTATTTTAAATGTTTAACTGCCAATATGAAATGGGTACCATTCGGTTAGAATGCATGCTCAGTCATCATGAACTGAAGTCCATTATAAAAACCCAGCATAGATGTCTCCCTATATACATGCTGTCCTGTAGCACAGGGTCACATGATTCTGATGACACTACTTAAGACAGTGGTTCTCAACCTTCCTAATGCTGTGATCCCTTTAATACATTTCTTCATGTATTGGTGACCCCCAACCATAAAATTATTTGTGTTGCTGCTTCATAAGTGTAATTTTGCTAGCTATGAATAATAATTTAAATATCTGATATACAGGGTATCTGATATGTGATACCTGTGAAAGGGTTGTTCAACTCCCAAAGGGGTTGTGACCTACAGGTTAAGAACCACTGTCTTATAAGCTGTTGTTTCATTCATAGAAAACCATTTGAAAATGGTCTTTAAATGCTCATCTGATGGTTTTAAAACTAAACAGTTAAGCCAATCTCTACATATGGGGAAATTACCCATGACATTTGTGACTCTGTTGCTTCATGAGCCATGAGCCCCCTGCCTGTTGTTGTATGGAAGATAGAGGGAGTGAGTTAGCGACCAGCCTAGTAGGGACTCCTCTACCTTTGCTATAACAGGCATCAAAGTAAACACTGTCCTGTTAAGGATAACACAGTGTTTAGTTAAGGTGCTTGGGCTCCAGCCCATGAAGTACAAACGTTGATTCCCTTCCCAGGGAAGGAAATCAAGCAACTTCTCCAATAAGTCTGTTTTTGGGTCTCATGTCATGTCCTAATGAAAGTTGTTAAAAGTGACAATTCTAAATGCCTTCAAGAAAACCATCTGTAACAAAGTGAAAATTGCAAAGTTGACAAGGAGTCCAGCAGTGCACCTCACCTTTCTTGGCTTCCTGGCCAGAGCCCAGAGCGGCTGTAGTGGTGGGTCTGAGCTCAGAGCTGCTCTGAGGGGTCACATTTGCTTTGGCTGGGTTGGCTTTGCCTTTCTTGTCATTTTTGGAAGTGTCACTGGGCACATCTGCTATGTCACTCTGCAATAGAAACATCCCCAGTGACTGGAATGTGTACCACCAGAAGTATTTTTTTCTTTAATGAGAGACCCCTCAGCCTCCCAGCCTCAGCCTACCTAAAGATCTTTAAAGATCTTTACCTGAAACTGGGCTTGGTGACCCACACCTTTAATCCCAGCACTAAGGAGTCAGAGGCAGGTCGACCTATATGAATTCAAGGCCAGCCTGGTCTATATGTGAGTTGTAGGCCAGCTGAGGCTACATTATGTGGCCTTGTCTCAAACAAAACAAAACAAGTTCTTTGCCTAAGGGGAGTAAGACTATGTGGTTTCCTTATGCTGGACAAAAAAGATCCAGACAAAGAAAAACAATTCAACTCCTTTTCTTTTTGGGTGGGTGGTGGTTGGGGGTGTTCCAGACAGGGTTTCTCTGTATTGATTTGGAGGCTGTCCTGGAACTAGATCTTGTAGACCAGGCTGGTCTTGAACTCACAGAGATCTGCCTGCCTCGGCTTCCTGAGTGCTGGTATTAAAGGTGTGCACCACCACTGCCCAACCTCAACTCCTTTTCAAGCAGGACATTTTCTAGCTCTCAGAGACTGGCAGGTTGTACTCCAACATGAACAGTCTAGCAAGGAACACTTAAAACAGAGAAACAAAAGGACAGAGGGAACATCAGAATGCAAGCACAAAGAAATGGGTCTCCAATAATAAACGTTACTTTCATTATCTCACTAAACTCAAATATTTGGTGTTTCAGGGTTACAAAAAATTCTTGACTATAATTTCTAATGGAGAGTCCCTATTTCATTTATAAAGTAACAGATATCCCCAGATGTCTCACTGGTGACTAAGAGGCTCTTTCTGATGGTGGCCACATTTTATATAATGTGGTACACTTTGTAGAGCAAAACTGATAATTGATAAGCTTGGTTTTGAAAACCCTCTTTAAACTTCCTCTATCACCTTTCTCTTGATTTTGCAGCCTCTGTTTGGAAACCAACCCACCCAACCTGACTGTCTTTAGCCCACAGTTTCTACTTACAGTTTCAATGCCCATAGCTCTCATTTGGTCTGCTCTCTTTTCTGTGATTGAAAGAAATTTCTTTGGATCGGATAAAGCATCCACAATATCTGAAAAACAATCAGTAAACTATAAATGTTCTGTTGAAATAAACACACCAAGAAAATGTAGGTAAATTCTTAAGATGTGGCTGTGACATACAGTTAGTGGTAGACAACAAAAAGAAGAAATAGCAAAAGTCAACACCTGGAGAACATTCTCTTTTTTTCCCCCAAATAATGAGGACAGGGAGTCAGGGCTATTAGAGTGAATTGCTAAGGATCTCGTTTTTTTGGTTTTGGTTTTGGTTTTGATGTAGAGTCTTACTCTGTAGCCCAGGCTGGTCTTAAACTGCTTTGATCCTCCTCCTAATTCGACTCCCAAGTGTTGGGATCACAAATATGAGTCACTGTGGTTAGCTGCCAGGAGTTGTTGACTCATTAATTTGTATAAATTGAGGAAGTTGATTAATGTGATCAGCCTACATCTCTCCAGCTGCTCTGGCCTTCCCTGCATGATCACTGGTAAACTCGATGCAATGATGAACACGCGGACACAAGACGTACAATCTAGACACTGGACGTACAACTTGGGCTACTATCATTCTAATATCAAAACCACATAAAGACACAATAAAAAATAAAAACCACAGGTCAATATCTGATGAACATAGATTCAAAAATTCTCCATTAAATAAACAGAATTTATACATATATCAAAAAGATTATCCACCATGATCAAGTTGACTGAAATGCAGGGATGGTAAACATATGCAAGTCAATAAATGTAATAAACCATATAAATGGACCTAAAGACAAAAATCACACGATAATACAATAGGTGCAGAAAAAGCCTTTGACAAAACACAACACGCCTTCATGATGAAAGTCTAGAGAATGCTGGGCTAGAGGGAATACATCTCAACATAATAAGAAACCCACAGCCAACAATATCCTAAATGGAGAAAAGTTTGAAGTAATCCCACTGAAGTCTGGGAAAGACAAGGTTGCCAACTAGCTCCTTTCCTTTTCAACAGTGTGTTTGAAGTACCAGGGATACAAAGGAAATTAAAGGGATATAAATAGGGAAACAAGACATCAAACTATCCCTATTTGTAGATGATATGATGCTATACAATAGAGATCCCAAAAATTCTACCAGAAAAATCTCTAAATATGATAGACAAATTCAGCAACGTTGTAGAATACTGAATCAATTTGCATAGATCAGTAGCTTTTCTATATGCCAACAGCAAATGCACAGAGGCAGAAATCATAGATATTCTCCCAATCACAATAGCCTCAAGAAAATATAACATCCAGGATTAGCCTAACCAAGGAAGTGAAGGACCTCTACAATGGAAACTTTAAATCTCTTTATAAGAGATAGATAAAGAGAGTAGAAAAGGAAACTTTCCTACAATCATGGATTGGTAGAATTAAGTTGGGGGGATTGAAGAAAACATTTTACCAAAAGCTGTTTTCAGATTCAATGTAATCTCAATAAAAATCCCCATCTTATTCTTCACAGAAATACCAAAAAAAACTATGTTAAAATTCATATGGAACCATGAAACATCCTTGATAGCAAAAACAACTCTGAAAAAAATAACAATGCTGGAGGGATTGTTAAGATCCCTAATCTAGATGTTAAGATATATTACAATCCACAGTGATAATGACAATATGGTAATGACATAAAAATAGACCTGTAGACCAATGGAACAAAGCAAGACTCAAACATGAGCATCATAATTTCAGCCATGTGATATTTGACTAAGATGTCAGAAACATAAGTGGGAAAGAAGAAAGCATCTTCAACAAGTGGTGCTGGGAAAACTGGATGTCTACATGCAGAAGAGTGAAATTAGACCTATATCTATCACCTCACACAAACACTGAATACCTCTCCCCCCAACTCCCTGTCTATACAAACTTTAGAATGTGATCTTACTTGTAAGTAGGCTGTTGATATAAATTTCAGTTAAGGATAAAAATGGAATCATTCTGGACTGGGGAAGAGGTGTCCTAAATTCAACCACAATGATGAGTTTCCTCCCATAAAGAGGAAAATCCAAAGACAAAGTGAAGGCCATGAGTTGTTTTGTTGATCTTTGCCATTCTGACTGGGGTAAGATGAACTCTTAAAGTTGCTTTGGTTTATATTTCCCTGATTTCTAGGGACAATGGACAGGCATTTTTGAGAGATTTTTTTTTGAGAACTCTCTATTCAGGTTCTTGGTCAATTTTTCAAATGGGTCATTTGTTTTTTCACATCTTGTTCTTTTTGTTAGGGACGCGGCTGGGGATTTGCATGGACTTTAGTGTGCTCTAAACAAGCACCGAGGTGAGACCTTACTAAATGCTGGTAGGCATTCACCAGCAGGCGTGACTGCTGTCTGGTCCAGCCACACTGAGTGGGCAGCAGTATACAGAGCATACACACAAACTCATGACCAGGCAGAACCCGTACAGTGGGCTAACACCTCCAGATGCTAGAAGCCACAATGGGGTCCCAGAACCAATCTGCTTGCTTTCACTTGCTCTTTTTCTTCTAGATTTAGCCAATGCTGTACTAAGCTGCACTGAAAACAAAACAAACAAATAAAAATCCCACTATCTATTCCTGGGTTTGGTGCCATTTTCAAAAGGCTGGTCTCTTTCAGTGAAGCTCTCCATTTTCCTTCTCCATTTCTCCCAACCTCCTCCCTCACTTCCATGTAGCATAGCACCGAGAGCATTCATCTTTAGGCATTAATTCCGAAGAACCAAAGACAAGCAGACTTTCCGATATTAACTTTCAAGAGTTTTTGTCTGTACAACCACTGCTTTTAAGGCATTTCAGTGGTGTGGTGCTGAGCACCAACTATGGCCATTCTTCATGTTTACTTTGGTTTGTTCCTGGCCCAGCTTCCCTCATGCTATTTTCCCTGTCATCAGGAGATAGGTGCAAAAGAAAAATAAATTGCTCCTACTTGCTGCAAGGAAGTGTAAACAAAGATAAACAAGTCTCAGACTATGATTTGGGTTAAGCAAGTCCTAAGCTGTAATACCCAGAAGACTCCATTGTGCAGCAGGTACTCAGGGAAATAGGATCCAGGGCTAAAGAAAATCCCCACACTATTCATTGCATCCACAAGGTAGCTTAACAATATGTGCAACAAGGGGCCTGATCAATTTGCTTAAGCTAGCAACTTTCAATGTCCATTTGCTTGTGGTGCTGAGCAATGAACACAGGACCTTCACTGCCCACACTAAGCCACTTTTCAAGCTCTGCTGTATACTTTCCATCATCCATATTGCTCCCTTCTTTTCCAGAGCTCAGAAGATGCCGTAAGAGTGGGTACCACATGCTCATGACCCTTGTTAAATCACCCCATCCCAGGATGTTATGTATTGTATGAGTATTGACTTTTCAACAAACTGTGTTGAAACATTGTTTATGATTTATAAAGCCACTGGAGATCAAAATGCAAAGCTAGTCACAACCATAGAATCAAGCAGTGGTTATACACACCTTTAATTCCTGCAGCCACATTAGTTAGCCATAGAGGCCCGGCAGTGGTGGTACACTCCTGGGATCAGGGATTAAACATGCCTCTGTGAGTTCAAAGCCACCCAGGGTTACATTAGAGTGAATCAGTCTAAAAGAAAGCTCATACAATGGAGATCTCAGCACATGGGATCCCATGCCTTTAATCCCAGCTGTAGAGAGGTATATAAAATGGGAGCAGATATTCAGTATTCAGTCTCAGAGATTTAGTCTCCAGCCATGCTGAGGACAGGACAGTCCTTTCAGCCTGAGGTAGAGGTGAGATGTAGGGAGCCGTCCCTGCATTCTCCATTATAAGATGGCGCCTGCATCCGGCAGGCACCGAATGTAAACAAGATTATTGCGCAGGCGCTGGGTAATTTTCCATTCCTTGATCTCTGCCTATTCCGTGGCGTCATATGGCCGGATGAGCTACAGCCAATCATAGGGTGACACGTCCCAGGCGGCGGCTGCCAGCCTTTATTAGGGGACGGGATTCTTGGCTCAGTGTCTCCGCTCTGGTAAGCTTATGCTCTCCTCTCAAGACGCATTAAAGCTTTCCTGCAGAAGGATCCGAGTGTCCTGCGTATGATTTCTTGCTGGCGAGAAATACAGAGAGCTCGCGGGACAGTGAGAGCTAGTGGCCAGCTGCTTTGCTTTTCTGATCTTCAGCTTCAACCCTAATATCTGTTTCTGGGTTTATATTATTTGTACTACAACAAACATTTAAGGGAAAAAATGACATCTCAGCATCTACAATGAGAGGAGAGATGGAACAACTCGAAATTGCGTCAGAAATCTTGAGATGACACTTCAGAAATGGCATTTTAATTGAGGATATTCCTCCTCCGGAAGTATGTGCTGAACGAAACAGCTGGCTATGCTGAAAGTGGTTGAAGATCTGGGTCATGCGAACAAGAAACACTCCTGTACCTTCCCGGACACAGCTTTAATCAGAGAGCAGAAAGGAGAGATGGGCAAGGAAACAAAAGGTTGCTTCATCTTTATTTACATGAAGTTGCAGAGGAACCACAGAATTACGGAAGGACCCTACATAAGAAATAAAGGCCCCTGGCTCTCTCTTCTGCAGCCGAGCAAGATGCCCAAGGGAAAGAAGGCCAAGGGGAAGAAGGTGGCCCCGGCCCCCACCGTCGTGAAGAAACAGGAGGCCAAGAAGGTGGTGAACCCTTTGTTTGAGAAGAGGCCTAAGAACTTCGGCATTGGGCAGGACATCCAGCCCAAACGAGATCTCACACGCTTCGTCAAATGGCCCCGATACATTCGGCTGCAGCGGCAAAGGGCCATCCTCTATAAGCGGCTTAAAGTTCCTCCTGCCATTAACCAGTTCACCCAGGCCCTGGACCGGGAAACAGCTACCCAGCTGCTCAAGCTTGCCCACAAGTACAGGCCAGAGACAAAGCAGGAGAAGAAGCAAAGACTATTGGCCCGTGCTGAGAAGAAGGCTGCTGGCAAAGGGGTCCCAACTAAGAGGCCACCTGTTTTTCGAGCAGGAGTCAATACAGTCACCACCTTGGTGGAG